CATTTATTTCAAAGATTATAATGCTTCATAGGAAGCAAACATAGATTTTGCTTTGTATGAAAATATAAGCATTTTTTCAGTCCATCCCCTATTCAAATTTCCCACACCGGCGAAGCAAAAGAATTCCTTAGAACTATTACTGTATAAATAAACCTTCTCCTGTTCCAAAGCCTATACGAAGTACTAGTCATGCATAGGCCTGCCTTGGCTGTGACGCTGTGTTCTTTATGCATGTTACAACATTTGTTATTTTGTTATAACTATACTAATAATACTATTTCTTGGGTATTCAATTTCTTTGGGCCTGCCGTGAATACTGGGTGATTTCTCGTTTTACGGGAATACATTACATGAGTGGCCAAAATATGAGAAACGTGTTTGGGTAATCCGAAAATATTAGGTTCTATACGTTCACCTAGGAAAAGCTAAAAAAATGGATTCCAGGAATCCGAAATTTGATTTTACGTACGTCCTTGTATAGTTAGGTGACTAAGTTGAGTAGGTTTTTTAAAAGGATTTCTTAATTTATTTAGATGGTTTAGTTACATTTTTTAAAATAGGAAAACACAAATAATTTAATAAAAAATTGTTAGTGGGTTTGATTGATTAAGATAATATGTACAAATATAAATAAACTTAAAGATATTTGTAGTTGGAGGGAAAAATGTTATCGTGATGGCAATTTTGAAAATAATATTGGATATTTTCACAAAGGAAAAGTATCATTTTCATGACATTTTCAGAGAAATGTGTCATTTTTTACACACGATGGTATTTTTTCCGACGATTGGAGGTTGTGGTGCTGGGAGGTGGTGGATGTGAAGGTAGTGGTCTACATTTTTTTTCGGTATTTTATTTTAATTTTTTAGATTTTTTAAGTTTTTTAAATATTTTTTATTTTTTGTTTTAATTTTGTTATTTTTTTAAACTTCTTTTATTTTATTTTTTTTTCCTGTTTTTTTTTTAAAATTTATATTTTTTTTACGATTTTTTATGTTTTCTCCTCCTCCGACTCTCCGATGCATATTCATTTCATTTGTAAATTAAATCTGGTCCTTTAATTTGAGGCCTACCTGTTTTAAATTTCATTTGTCTAGGCTAGCGCTTTCAGTCGATATCACTAATTTGAGGCCTACCGGTTCAATTGATTGTATCATCATCACCATCATCTCCATCAAAATCATCATCACCACCATCACCATCATCATCACCATCAATATCACAATCACCACCACCACCACCATCATCACCACCATCACCACCATCGCCACCACCATCGCCACCACCATGAGATGTCAGAGTGGTGAAGGTGAATCAGCTAGCTGTATGTTTTCTTGTAAACCTTGATTCCCATCTTTTCCACTAGGTTCCAATATATCAGGGTTTGTTGCCATCTGGTGCCACACTTGGTCTTCCCGCACTCGTTCTGTATTTATAGACTTTGTTGTTGAATCTTCTCCGTTGGCTGAGTGATCAAATCTTGATCGTTGCTTGATCTACTTGCTTTGTTCCACTTGACTGGGCAGCATGGTTGATTCTTATCTTCTTGTGACAAGGATCATTTTATCTTCACTCAACTTGATTCATCATTTCAATGCAAAGATAAGATGATTTATCTTTATCTTTTTAGCTTACAGAAATTCAGTATCTAGGCCGAGTGTTGTTCAATGCTTTCCTCAAGTGTGAATATTAAAATTCCATCTATATATTAAGTAGATCCTTGTCAATTTTTACAACTCGTGTTCATGATATAGGCTGATTGCATTTCAAATGATTATATCCTTACTGGGTCGAATTGGAGTTTTTATGACCCGAGTCTAAAAATGTGAATCACAAGTGTGAATATTAAAATTCCATCTATATATTAAGTAAATCATTGTCAATTTTACAGCTCGTGTTCATGATATAGGCTAATTGCATTTTAGAAGATTGTATCCTTACTAGGTCGAATTGGGGGTTTTATGATTGGGGTCTAAAAAATGTGAACCACAAGTGTGAATATTAAAATTCCATCTATATATTAAGGTAACTCATGGTCAATTTTACAACTTGTGTTCATCATATAGGCTGATTGCATTTCGGATAATTGTGTCCTTATTGGGTTGAATTGGGTTTTCTATGATCAGCGTCTAAAAAATGTTAATCACAAGTGTGAATATTAACATTCCATCTATAATTAAGTAAATCCTTGTCAATTTCACAACTCATGTCATGATATGGGCTGATTGTGTTTCAAATGATTGTATCCTTACTTGGTCGAATTGGAGTTTTTATGATTCAGGTTTAAAAATTGTCAATCAGAAGTGTGAATATTAACATTTCATCTATAAATTAAGTAACTCATGCTCAATTTCACAACTCGGGTTCATGATATAGGCTGATTGCATTTCGGATGATTGTGTCCTTATTAGGTGAAATTGGGGTGTTTATGGTCCGGATCTAAAATATGTCAATCACAAGTGTGTATATTAACATTCCATCTATATACTCCCCCTGTCCCTTGAAAATTTGTTGACTTTCATTTTTTAGTCGTTCCACTAACTTTTGAAATTCTATTTTAAGTACATGAATTTATGGTTGTAGTTAATTCACGTTGCCAGAAACTAAAAAAGGACTAGTTTTAGACGAGCTTGTGATAATATTACCAGTATAGTCCAATTATAATTTATGTTTACTTTTATGGCACAATTATAATACATGTTATGAACTAAATTATATTATACTGCGTAGTGTTATTTGGGAACAACAAAATAATGATAATTAAAGACTAACAAAATCAGTGCAAAAATGTAATCGTAATGTCAATTACGATTAATGGCGTATTAATATTTAGTTTTTCTGAATATTCAGACGGACATAACAAAATCAGTACATAAATGTAATCGTAAAAAGAATAAAAATATAATTAAATTTAAAACCTCACTTTGACGAATACCGAAACTAGAATCAGCAACAACACTGAATAATTTTATCTAGCTGAATTTGTTTTTTGTGGTGAGTTAAATATTAAATATGGTGTTAAAGATATTTAAAGAGGTAAGGATTGAAGGGTTGAGATTCTTTCTATCAAATCTGAGGGCTGAGTATAGGGAATGAGAAAACACAATTCGTATGCGGTATGCTTCTCGTTTGACCAATCAGAGATCAGCTTGGTTGGGATGAAGCTTCAGCAGGGAAGTCGGATTAGTGACATCCGAAATGCAAAAGCCTCTTTGTCGCCACACATTTATAGATATATGGCCAAGGTAAATAAAACCCACAAAAGGATTTGACTAATACGACAATTAAAGACCCCCGCATATAACCCTACGAAACTCGGATTTCAGTCCCACGTCTCCGGTATTTTCGTATTTTGGGAACTGTTACATAAAATTCCCGTAAATCCATTCTTTTCCCGTGAATACTACTACAAAAAAATTGGTATGGGATAGAAGCAGGCAGGGGCAGCAGACATGAGGTTAATGGGAGCTTAATGGAGGAGCTTGCAAGAGTGACCGAGAGCAAGAATCATGCTTTGCGAAGCCCGTGATGGAGGTGAAGATGACAGTCTTTGATATGCATCCTGACAAGGCACCAAAACTGGTGATTTGAACCCCCAATTTTATCAGCACTTTTGGGACATTATAGGGGCGGACATTGTCAGGTCCCGTTCCCGACATCTAAGGTAAGAAATTCTTGCTTGTTGTTGTTGACTATGTTTCTAAATGGGTTGAGGCTCAAGCTCTACACACCAAATCCTATTAAACAGTTTTTTCGGAAAACGAATCACTACTCTGGCTTCATTTGACCCATGACCCATGATCAGTGATAGGGGCACTTACTTTTGGAATGATCCCACGATCCACCTTTTGGCTAAGTATGGATCACTCATAAAGGGGGGGTTTCTTACGACCCTCAAACTAGTGATCAAGTTGAGAACTCGAATACTGACATTAAGACCATCCTTGAAAAGATAGGAGGGCAATAATTTTGGAACCCGGAGGACGATTTCACAGTGAACGTGGTGGTGTGTCTTGAGGTGAGGTGTTGACGTAGAAGCCAGACTGAGTGGTGACTGGGGTGGTGGTGATTGGGACATCAAATGCCTCAACTGTATTGGATAAAGAAACATCCATGTTCACTTATTTGTTCTTGTTATAAGCTCTCCTGTTCTGTCCACTCTGGCTAGCTTCTCAGTCTCAAGATTGAGAGGGACAAACAGTTCTCCCCTCTTAGAACGAGTATGCATAAAAATCTAACCTGCACGGTTAGGACTAAGATAAATTCTACGAAAAAATATAAAACCTAAAACTAGTCGCTGAAGATACATAACCCTTAATTCTGACACCGTCCTCGACAACGGTGCCAAAAACTGATGTGTCGTTAAAAAGTGCAAATCACCCCTTTTGTAGGAGGCTCTGTCTGGCCGTCTCCATTTGGGGCGGTTACCGGTGGATTTTTTTGATGATTTTTTTTGAGCATCTTCTTCATTAAGTCTAGTTTACTCATATCAAATTTCAGGTTAAAATTCAATCAGAAAGGCAATCAAATGATTTTCTGAAATATAATGCGCTGTTTAACTGCGCAATTATCTTCAAACATTTATTTGGCTGGCTTCACGATTGAATTTTTTGCTAAAATTTAGTATGGTAAACTAGATTTAATCAAGAAGATGTTCAAAAACTTTCATCAAAAAATTCCACCGGGAACCGCCTCAAATGGCGACGGCCAGACAGAGTCTCCTATAAAAGGGGTGATTTGCACTTTTTCGGTTAGTTCGATGGCTTATTTGCCCCTTTTCCCTTAAAATTTTGAAATTTCTTCGAAAATTTTTCTTTTGAAAAATTCTACTTTTTTAACTAGTCTGGTTAAACAAGGAGCTGATATTGATGTTTATCGGTGCTTGTAATTCGTTATTACGAACGGGGCTATTGATTTTGAGTTATTGAATTAATGTCTAATAGTTGGAAGCCCCGTTGGAATTGCTTGTTGTGATTTTCCTTACAGATGCCAAGAATGAAGCAGATTGTCAAGCGACCAAGAAATAATGATGAGGCCGGTAGCAGCCAAGGGGCGGCAGCTATGGCAGGGATGAGGGAAGCAGCACAAACTGGACAATACCAGGTCTAGTTCAAGGATGACATCCAGGAAGCTAAGTATTGGGAGTCATACCTAAGGTTGTTGGCACCATTTTATACCCAGTGGCAGCTCCTTTGGAGAAAGAGGAGCTGAAGGATCAAGTTTTTCATCTCATTCGCCAGTCATGGTGGCAACATTTGTTCTTCGGCGTCAGAGAGCCGACCTATTGGGAGCTTACCTACAAGGTGTTGTCATCCATGGTCGTGAAGAATGCCATCACGGTTGTCTGGAAGAAGGAGATTGCGTTCCGGGCATTTGGCGAGACACATTCTTACACCATTGCACAACTTGAGGCTGCATTGGGATTCCCGAGCCGCAAGGATTGGGATTATATTCGTGAGTTCCCCCGCGATGTAGACCGTAAAGCATTTTATAGAACTGTCTCCAACGACGTGAAGGACTACGACCCACAGAAATCGAGGAGCACTAAACCACATCCGCCTGAGCCAAGGGTCATCCACACCCTTCTCACTTGCACCATCACGGACAGCAACGAGATAGGCGGTCATGTGTCTACCATAGACCTCAAGTGCTTATATTGCATGATTCACGATAAGAGGTCATATTTGGGGATTCTGATCGCGGGAATCTTTAATCGACAGATGAATACTCGGGTGCAGAGTATATTTGTCAAACCATACATTACCCACCTCTTGCGCAGCATTTTAGGATACGCGACTAAGTTCGAAGGGATGTAGGGAATTCGGTGCATCGCGCCAATGATGAAGATTATTCTCACCAAGGATGATGATGATGAGGAGCATGCTGGAGATGCAAGAGAAGAGGCTGGAAAGACGTGGCAGCCGCAAAGGGACGAGCCTCATGACCACATTGCTTTAGGGTCATATTATATGTCCCTTTTCCGGGGATACGTGTATCCCAACACTTGGGAGCGACATGAGCAGTTTTTCACACAGATGCGTGAGGACATCAAATCGGGATTTGCCGCATTGGACACTAGGATGTCCTCCCATTGATGATCTATCCCTATTGATACACTTTTTCATGCTACACACAGGATGATGTATTCTTTATTGTTACATTTGGACACTTTGTTTTGTGTTTTGTCTATGCAGTTTGATTTCTAGCCTGACTAATGATTTGTTGTTTGGATTGCGGACTCGTGTGATTTCTTGACTGATTGAAGACCTCAGGGAGTTTCTTTTTCCTTATTCTTTTTAATTTTGGATGGCTTGAGTTAATTGAGCAATGGGACCCATTCCTAGTTATCCCAAAATTTTCATGTTGCATTAATTTTGGTTATCGAGGTCAATGCCAAGCTTTAAGTGTGGGGGTGCATTGGACTAAGGATAAGTGACAAAACCCGATCCCCCAACACGCAATAAATGCGTATTGAAATACTGATTTATCATTTATCAACTTACAAAAGCCCTCTTGGAATTAAGTATCAATCGATAATAGTTTTTATATGAAGATCTGTGTACAAAGGAGGATTAAGTTAAATCTCCCACAAATACATTATTTGTATTGAAAGACTGCTAATGAACTCTTGATCCGATGTGCTGTATGCTATAGAAAACAGACTTTTATGCTTCCCCTTTTCATGCCTTATCTTAGAAAGCTGTACAAAATAGAAATGCTATTCAGAAGGGAAGAAATGAAAAGGAATACTTAAATTCTTGGACTTTTTGATTTTCCTTACCATATATTGCAGCAATAGCTCATTGCCAATGACCAAGACAGTTTTAAGACTCAATCAGAATAGCGCTCTGTATATCAGCAAAAGACTTGACATCTCTGCCCCATAACCTGTTTCAATAGAATCTCAGTCAACCACTTTCATTACATCTACATGTCATGATGATCTCACAAGCTGTGTTTGGTTCTTATTATGAGATTTCTGGTTTCAGATTCTCTGGAATCTCAAATTACTGAATTTTGTACTTCATTTACAGTTAAATGAGAACATAGGCCAGGAGCAACTCTGTACTTTCGCATATATTGTAGAAAGGCAATACCCTACCAGCATTCAATTCCAGCAGCATTAGCACCTTCCTTATCAGCCTTGGGATCATCTCCAACATGAACTGCCTTTGTCGTTTCAACACATATCTGATCTACACGATGATGTAAAAATGTTTCAAGTTAAAAGGGCCTGAAGGTTCCAATAAATATTTACTACTTTACCACTATGTTGTAAGCAAAGGAAGAAAAAAAGGCAAGGCTTTGGGAACCTACCGAGTGCAGCTTGAAATATCTTAGCATCTGGTTTTTCATATCCAACCTCAGCAGATACTATAACAGCATCAAACCTATATAAAACACATGGCTTATTGAAAATTTGGTTTGAAATTAGTCCTGCTGTTTGCCTGTTTCAGGCAGGAAAATTGGAAAGAGGGTGTTTGGAAAATGTTCTAAAAGTGATTCTGGGCACAGAAACCAATCATTATATTAAAGCGTACTTTTTCAGAAGCAGCTGACTTCTTGATTCTTGAACTGATTCTGATTATCATTTTTTACATATTTTGCTTCATAATCACATTAGAACAGTTACAGCCATTCCACCAAAGAAACATTATAATATGACTTTGTTTTGCATACAAACATCATTTCATCATTTTCATTTACCCCAGTGCCACAAAGGCTCCCACCTACGGTGGGTAAGGGGGTCGGATGTACGCAGTCTTACCCCTGTACTAAAGCACAGAGAGACTGTTTACGGATGACCCATAGTGAAAATCGCGTCCAATATTGCATGGACAGACTGCTGCTCCATAACAAAGAAGTGCAGACAGTTTAGTGAGCTATTTTGCTTTATTCCATTATAATCTCAAGCCAAAAAATAATGAATCTTTGGCTCCATTGCAAATGATGGAAATTGCATACAAACATAATTTATGTAAAAAACCTTTAGAGCCCGTTCGGTAACATTGAAATCGGCTGAATCAGGTGATTCTGCTGAAATTTATGAAGTTCTGGCTGAAGTGGCTATATTACCTGTATTGGCTGATTCTGCTATTTATGTAAAAATTATATTTAAAATATATTATATTAATAAAAGAAAGAAAATTTATATGAAAAAATAGCTAAGATGTCATATACAGTAATTTAAGCCAATACAGTCAGAAAAGTAACTTAAACCTTACTTTTTCTTATTATTACACAATTCAGTGGACGAAATCAAAAGTTACGTGATTGGTTAAAAGATTGGCTTATGAGTCTAATAAGCCAAAAAACAATGTCACCAAATGGGGCCTTATTTGATCAACTTTATTTGGACTTTTTGGCCAAACGCCATCTAAGGCTAGTTTCATTTTGGTGGGTCAAATACTATAGAGATTTCTCCCCTCCAAAAATAGAGAGACAATAATTTTAAAAGGAGATGCTTACAGATGTACCACATTGAGGTCTTTCAATAGCTTCCTCAAACGGGTGTCAAAATTCGAAACAACTGCCAGTTTGACTGTACCAATATTTGCATAGTTAAGAAGTCAGTGTAAAACATATGAAGCTTCATGACATGTATATAGAGGCACTTGAAACCTCCACAATCTTTCAGGTTTGATAGAGTATCAGAGGCTGTGTCCGGAAGACGCCAAGCATCACCATTTGCATAGTGCTGATATAAGGAAAATATTAATGATACAATTTTGGAATTCCAAAAACATACTACTTTCGTCCCTTAAAATTTTGCCAAAGTTAACCGGCACGGAGAATAATAAAGTAAAAACTGTGTGGTTGAGGTTTGTGCAGAGGAGAGAGAAATAACAGAAACCACAAAATAATTGATTAAAAGGGAAAGTGGCAAAGTTTTTTGGGACGTCCAAAAAAGGAAAGATGACAAAGTTTTAAGGGACGGAGGGAGTATTCTATAATAACGAGTGAGTTTCACGTGTTCCATTCAAAAAACATGATATTACTGTGTGTTGATTACAAAAAAAGATAAATATTGCAAGGAATTAATGAAATAAAATAGTGTGGATGCAATAAGTACCTGGTAAACTTCTTCAAAATAATCATTATCATTACAACCAGTTGCTTCACAAACTATGAACTTCCAAAATGGCCTTCCATCTCCCTGCCAATAGTGAGCGTTTACTGGTCAGTTTCAAACGATAACAAAACAAGAAAATGCAGTTGTTTCATCGAAAAGATAAACTTTTACTCAGAAAAAAGATGCATTAATTATTTGGAAGAAAAAGTAAAGTTAAAACACTACTTTCTCGAAATGAATAAAAACAACTTCCCATCCATTCCTGTAGAAATCACCATTTCCAAAACATACCCTTTGAAGAATGTTGAGTTTTACGACATGATTAAACCTGATACCGTAGCTCCTCAGCCCATGAGGCAGAAAAAGCTCTTTTGAAACCTTTCTTTATCACAGCGGATGGGGTGGAAAGACCTGTTATATTTATTTGACATGGTGTGCAAGTTACATGAGAAATCCTAAACCAAAAGAAAAACACAAAAATATATATGCTCCCGATCTGTTGACCATTACAATGATATTAGAGCCTCTCAAGCAAATGTTAGTTGTCCACTACTACTACTTCTCCACATGACCACATATACAAGGACAGGTTTCGTAGTTTTAAATAAAACTTAGGCTGTAAATGTAACTAAAGCAACATCAGACCATGTCCAAACTTCAAAGTACATTATCCCTCATTAATAACTAAGACTCCTACAGAATCGCTACATAATTTTAAATTCTTTTCCATTGAAAGCAGAAGTAAATGCACAGTTTTCAATTCTTTTCCCCATTTGGAGAAAAAAATAATTATCACCTATAACATAATTCCGGAAGCGTAAAAAGGTGAACCAAACCATAGTTTTTTCCAATAGCTGCATAGGTCTCTTCAACAGGCTTAGCCAACTGCAAGAGCGTACCAGCAGCATCCAACAATAATCCATCAAATTGTCTCTTCATCCCTGTTCTTTCACCTGTTAATGACAGAAAAAAGACCCTACAAATGTATAATTGCATAAATAATCAATGAAAAGGGGGGAAAGCCCAGAATTGGTTTCAAGAAGACATGAATAAGTCAGAGTCATACAGATGATTTCAATCAAGATGACATGGTCACCATTACCTTAATTTCAAAGTTTCCATTTTCACATTTTCCAATACACAACTTTGACCATTAGTATATTTCATTCTTCATTAATAAAAAAAGTTAAAATATCAGATTCTGAAAATTCAAAATGAGAACAATTTAACAAAAATTTTCAAAAACTAAATTTTCAATACTTTAATAAATAAAATGTACTCAAAGTGGATGACGTGAATAATGTAAATTAACTTAATTTCAACGTTTCCATTTTCACATTTTCCAATGCACAACTTTGACTATTAGTATATTTCATTCTTCATTAATAAAAAAAGTTAAAATATCAGATTCTAAAAATTCAAAATGAGAACGATTTAACAATATTTTTCAAAAACTAATTTTTCAATACTTTAATAAATAAAATGTACTCAAAGTGGATGACGTGAATAATGTAAAATTCTTTTTTTTTGTTTTTTTTACTCCGGGGGGCGTCTGGGGGAGGGGGCTGGGAGGCCTGGATTAATCTGGGCTGAAACTCACTCCATTGAATTTCAAACCCTTATGTGCCTAGCGGGTTTCGAACTCGAGACCTCTCACTAGGCGTAATCTCATAACCAGTTGGGCTAGAATGCTTAGTTAAATAATGTAAAATTCAACATGTTGCATCTATTTAAGAAAGGAGTTTGTACTAAGTAGTATAGATTAAGGAAAGCGTTACAATGCCTGATCACACTTCCCTTTGTATCACTTAGAATTAAGCAACCAATTTTCAATTGGAAGCTCCCAGAAGAATAATGGACATAAAAATTTCATTCAAAAGCCAGTGTCAGAATTTTACTCTGGAATCTGGGTGCCCTTATTGTAAATTGTAATAATTCTTGAGAGAGAACAATGATATGAGACTCTTGTAAAGCTAATTATCTAGCGTTGGAGATGGAATACTAATTAGAGGCGTTTTCAACAAGTACACTGACCTAAAAGCTTTTAAAATGGAAAATAAATACTACCTCCTTCCCAATTTACTTAGAAAAACTTGAGACCAATTATTTAAGTTAATATTTTTATGCAAAATTTAATAATTTTATACTTTTATAATAGTGTTTTTAATAAAGAACATTTACGTATCATATTATCACTACTTTCTCTATATAAAATATAATCGGTCAAAATTAGACGTTTTTGATTTGAAAAGTCAAATTTTGCTAAGTAAATTGGGACGAAGGGAGTATGAGGATGAGCCGCAATAACAAATTTGAGTGTGAGATGTAATGCTAACCCGTGTGAACCTTGGTGGCTGAGGAAGAAGAAGAGCACCGGACGCAAAACGATTTAGTGAGATTCGGGTTGAGTTTGAAGGGTTTGATAGTTCTGAGAAGGGGAATAGCTTCCATACTCCTCTTTGTCTTTGCCGTCGCCGGAAATATCATGTCTTATTCGATCTGCTCCGAGAATTAATACACTTGGAAAAAGTTTAATTTTGGAAAAGTGTTAAATAATTTCTATTTTGGTGGAATGTAAATATATTAGTAACCAAAGTTTATGTACAAGGTATGGACAAAAATGAAGGCATATCCAAGCGTGGATACCCTATAACATCAGCAGCGACATAAGCAAGCTATCAAATGTCCCAAAAAACAAAAAGCAGCCATCAAGCCGTGACAAAAAGGAGAGTTTCTCAAAATTTAATCATATGATACGGATAGATAGAGTAGAGCATTTTGTACACCATATACTTGATATGTGTAATCATGTCATCCATCTTTAGAGTTGCTCCATCAAAACGAATAGCATTTCGGGTTCTCCATATCCAATATATAGTGTAGCTGAATGCTATCCTTGTTGCTTTAGCCCTTATATGCGCTCCATTGCATTCTCTTTGTATCCATTTGATTGCACTTCTCAAGGATGTCATTTGCCTTGTAATGCCGAGCCATCCTTTAATGCTATTCCAAATCTGCCCTGTGCAACAACATTCAAAGAATAGGTGTGGTACCGTCTCCGGACCACCCTTACAAAATGGACAAATATTAACCACATCAAGGTACAACTAAATAATTTCTATTATGGAATCGCGGATGCACTCAATAAAGTGTCATATAACTACGTCTATTTATAAAAAAAAAATCAGATAAGTCCTAACGGATCCATTGACAATCTCCTGATCCCGATTTTAGCTTAAGTATCGTTATTTTTACCCTGTATTTAAATCAATCTTGGCAAAATATTCTACACAACCCTTATAAAATATTTTGAATAGATAGTCAGACTTACGCTAAAATCGGGATTACGTGATTGTCAAAAGGTCATTATGACTCATCTGATTGCTTTATATAAGTAGACGTATCTATATGACATCTATTGAGTACATGACTATGTGCCGATTTAATAATAGTAGAAGACCTTATTTGACTCTTTCCTCTTTATTTTTTTAGTTTTAATGTTGTAACGTTTTAAGTAGTCCTTGTTTGGGTGGGCAAACCCGTACAATAATCGTAGTTCGGTCAGGTAATGCCGATTCAGAGTGGATTAGGGTGAGATTTTAATTTTGAAATTTTAAAACGGGGTGGGACGGGCGGGGGTAGTTCAATATTTAGGATTCGGACGATTCCTATATTTGTAAAAACGACAACCCGATTCAGACCTTCTTTCTAATAAAATGTCTAATGTATGTGTTCATCCTAGTAAAAGCGGTCCAATTTATTCAAGCGTTTAGCAAGCCTCACGATCCATGACATCAAGGACATGTTTACTTCACGGGTTACTAAATGGTGCTTATTAAGACTCGCATTAATAAACGGCGCATAAAATAAACGGTGTTGTAAGCTCATGTTTACTTCAAAATATTTAAAACACCGTTTAACATTAAAATGTCCAAAATAGTCTTATAGGGGTAAGGTAGAGGTAAAAGGGGGTGGGGTCAAGGTGGGGTGTTAAGGGTTAGGGTAAAAGGGGGTGGGTGGGTGGGTCTGTCCGGATAAGGTAGAGTTAGGAGGTAGGGGTGGGGTAGAGGGTAACAATAGGGTAAAGCAATGAGTAAGGGTAAGGATAAATCCGGAAACTGAAAAAACTTAAAGTGTCGTTTAATTAATACATGGGGGTGGTATGCTTAGTAAGCGACACTTTAAGCACCTCTTTCGATTAGTAAGCGACTTTTTAAGCAACTTGCGTGTTTACTTCATCTGTCTTACTAACATAACTGTGACTTTAGTTGCAAAGTAAACGCCTCCCAAATCTTTAAGGGAATTTCTAAATGCAACCACTTATTTTTTATATACGGCCACCAGAATAACTAAATAAATAAAAAATAATTGAAATTTTCCATTTTACCTCTAATCTCTTGTGTTTGAAACTGATCGAACAAAGAACAAGGGAGGTTATGATGGTTTGAGGATAGAGAAACCACTAAGATTTCATTGACAAACGGGAGAATATATGCGTAGAGGAATTGTACTAACAAAGAGGAACACAACAATACCAATAGTTCAGGTATTATTTATGCATTCATTCGTTTCTTCTGGTATCCCTCTCATCGGTATGTAATTCTTATTATTCTGCAGACTCGTGGTTTTATTGAAATTGTTTTCAATTCATCATATTTAAGCTTTAAGGTTATTTTAATTTTTGAAAGTTGAAAACGGTAGTGACCAAAATCAACACTTGGCAATCTGTTAAATCTTAAAAGCAGACATCTTGAAGACCTTAGGGCATCTCCGATGCAATGGTGGATTTCATTTAAAATGATATCCACATCGTCAATGAATACTTTGTTAAAGAATGTAGTCTTCAATGCAAATAAAGTAAACTAGGTCATGTTGAGTTGACAAGAAACAGAAATGAGTAAGGTGCAATAGGAGGTCCATTTTGAGACTCTCGGTCTCACCTCCCCTTTTCCATGCATGAGTAATATTTTAATAATTGCATTAATGTTTTATATGGATGTCTTTTGCATTGGAGCATGGAAAGGAAAGGATGAACGCTCATCAATTTGTTTATTTTGGCCCACATGCTCAATGAACCATTTCCATTTATACAACACCTAAGCACTAATGCATCAAGGGCATTGGCGATGCTCTTATAATCATAGCAGTGTCAGGCTAAAATGATTAATTTAAGTCTGATGTTGATTTGCAGTGATCAATTTCACATGAGCTACTCTGTAGTATAGATGAAGGCTATTTAAAATTGTATGGAGACGATAGTATTATTATAAGGATAAATTGTAAGGTTAAATTTATTTATTATTATTTAGAGACCGTTCGGTAATATTCAAATTGGTTGTATTGAATGATTCTGGTGAAACTTATAAAGTTTGGCTAAAGTGGTTGGATTGACTAATTCTGCAAATTTATGACAAAAAAATATATGTAAAATATATTTTATTAATAATATGAAGAAAAAATTATATGAAAAACATCTAAGATCATTTTCTACAATAGCTTTAGCCAACACAGCCAAAAAAGTAACTATAACCTTATTTTTTCTTATTATGACATAATTCAACGCGTGAAATCAAAAGTTACGTGTTTGGTGAAAATGTTGGCTAAAAAGCTTGATAATATGAGGATTGTAGTTAGTAATACGGGGATGTCAATAGAATTACTCAATTTTTGACATACCAAGTATCGAAATTAATACATTTATAACATCATATTATATTATAATAACTAGATTTTCACCTGCCTATAATTTGAGGTTGTAGTGTTAGTTTTTACATCACTTACGATGGGGTAACAGGGGTCGAATATACGTAACCTTACCCCATGCACTAGAACATAGAGAAACTGCTTCGAAGGATTCATGATGAATATCACGTTGAAATAACTTATAAATCTAAATATCATACAAAAACAAACCAACAATCGTAAAAGTGATGTATTAAGAAATAAGGAAACCTAACAGTTTCCTAATAGATTAGAAATATACATTATGTTAATAATAACTAGTATTTCACCCGTGTGTTGCACGGGATGAAATATGCACCTATGATACATGTTAATTATAAAGCATTAAGAATCATATTATTATTTATCACACAAATAGAGACATCGTAAATAAATAATAACATATATCAAAAGTTTCACAAGCACATAAATTACAAATTGTTAAAACCTCATAGACAAAGTTTTTTGTAGCTTTTCTTAATTTTATTCTTTGTCACATACTACGATTTAAGTCAAACCTCTTGTCACACTCGAACTCGCAGCACACAATTGTGCTTCAGTAGAGGACTTGGAATTCTCATTTTGGGTGTTCAAACGTTGTTACAATTATTAAAACATTAATGAACACTAAATAATTATATTAAATTTTTGGTGTATATTCTCACATTTTTAAAAGCTTTGAGTGTTAATGTGAACACTTTGGGTCAATAGTAGCTCCGCCCCTGTTGTGCTTGCGTAAAAAGAGGAATTGAGAAAAACTCTGAACGATTTCCAATTGCCCTTGAATCTTACCTTTTTTGAAAGAATATTTATCACCTTTTGAAACTATACTATTTTACACGTTTAACTTTGAACATATATAGTACATATATTATACAATATTATTTAAACTATGTAAAAATAAAATGACTAATAACTTCTAATAAGTCAATTAGTCGAGTAAGTTGACTAAGAGTTTCCATTTATTCATAAGAAGGCTTGTGTTTAGGCATGAATAAAAATCAGCATGGATTATCATCTCCAATGCAATATAGAAGTTCTAATCAACTATTCCGAAAAGTAAATACAAATGAGTAGTGTTAATAACATCGGAACCTCTACTTTGTGCCACCTCTGGAACTTTTATTATGCTTCATAACTGAACGTCTGAATGATCTAGCCCTATAATAACAATGCATACACCTAAGAGATTGAGACACTACGATGCAATATAAATTACTCACCGGAAAAGATGATTACCCGACGAATTCAATGTATACAATAGAACATTGTGTATGTATACAAATGTTAATTTGGTGACACTATTAGCATTTAATCTGAATTTGAATGCTCACTTATATGTTTTAGTTAATCCATTTAAGGTTGTTCAAACTTCTTATGGAAGTGTATAAATATAGATGAGATTCTGAATATAAAAAAATTAAGTAGAATTCTTTCGATTTATTAAGATGAAGTATATAAATATAGGCATAGTTGTTAAATGAAAGGAAAATAATACATGCTCTAATGAGAGAAATAAGCTTTTAATTATGAAAAGGAAAATAATACATGCTCTAAAATGAGAAAGCTAAGATAGAAATTAAACAAAATTATAAACAAAGGGAAACCTTCAAACTGAAGACCTAAATGAGGAGTACTTTCATGATCCACCAATAGAAAATGCCACTCTTTGAGACAATAGTAAGTCCAGGGGTTGAGCCAGAGCACTGGGTCGGTACAAAGAATATATTTGGAAAAAATTTTACACAGAATTTTTTACACTAAAAATATGAACATTTTTTAAATTTAGGCTGGGCCAGGGTCAGGGTTGGCCCTCCCCCGGCTCCGCTCCTGAGTAAGTCCGTATAACATAATGCTTTTGTGTAGTCCTCAGCTAAAGTTTGATCAATATAATGGCAATTCATGTACATCGTGGCTCCATGTGCAGCAAAAATTTTGCTAACAAATGCTACCTAGCCTGTTGAACATCCTATCAACTACAACTCAATTCCAAATAATTGACCAACGAAATCACCCAATTATTCAGCGGCAAATAACCCCAAGTAAAAAGATAGCTCAATCTCTCAATAAAATACAAACAACTCCCAATGAAATTAGAAGCCAAAACTCTTAAGAGCAATAAAAGAATGAATAAAAAGCACGCCGCACACATGCCCTGCTGCATGACAAACTACCAAGCAAGCCAACAATCACATACCTCAAGTGACCAAGCAAAAAAATTGCTTTTCTTCTAATTACCCCAAGTAATACAAATTTCATCAACCAAGTCATATGCATGCATTTCTCTAAAAATAATATCGTTTAACACATGTCAAACTGTTTTATTTATCGAACCTCAAAGTGCACAGCTTTGTGTGTGGTCATCACCTACGAGGAAGGGAAATAAGGAAAATTGGTTGAATTGACATTTGAATAAATAAATAATAACCAAAAGTATTATTACTTTTGGAACGATTAAATTTCTACCTATGATGGTGGAAATTTGGAAAGCCAACTGTTTTCTAGTGCACCGATCGGTTGAATTGACATCTATATATATAGTAAAACAGAAAAGTGTGGGGGGTTTGAGGAGAGAGTTTGGGCAGGAAGGTCACCACACGTGGCTTTAGGTTGTTCGAATTTTATGCAAGTATACATTGGGAAAACGTGTTGCTGCCTTTTGGCATTTTTGAGGTGGCTTTTACTTTTCCCCCCAAAAAGTGCATCGTGCTCTACAATAAATAAGAGCCAATTGTTTTACAAAAATGTGCGGGTATGTATGAGATGCATTTGTGATTTTTTATGTGGCTTTTGAACTTCATAAAAACGTGTCATCAATGCAACAATAAATAGGGTTGCAATTTTCACTATAAATAGAGACCTTGGCGTCACTTCAGCCCACCATAGCAAATAGCGACCCAGCCATCACTCCAGTTCAACATTTGCGTAGAAATGGCCGCAATCTTCGTTTTGGTTAGGGATATATGTCCTCATTCAACAACATGGGGTTTAAGGTTACGGGCCTTACGGCTGGTGCACATGTACTATTCGCGAAGTGAAGAAGGCGAAATAAGGAGTCTTGAGTGTGTGTTTCATGACAAAGAGGTAGGTGTTTATTGTAATTCTTAGCTTAAATTCATTCGTTAATAATTACTAATATTTGTGCTCTGGACCTTTTTTGTTTTTAAAATGGTAGGGAGATCGTATCCATGGAACCATTCGAAGCTTTCTAATAGCACAATATAAGGATGCAATGAAAGAGGGAGAAGTTTATGCCATTGACAATTTTGTTGTAGCAATTGATGGAAAGAAATACAAGACAACTACAAACAAGTATAAGATAATTTTTCTCCTAAAAACTCAGATTAGGGTACACGATGAGCCGGAGTTCTTGAACGAAGTGTATCAATTCAAATCTTTTGAATGTGCTGACAACAAATATTCTAGATGAAACCCAAATGTTTGGTGAGCAATTTCTTTCGGTTTGTTTAGATTATGTTTTTATTCCCATTAATGTTTATAATAACAAGTTGAATTTATGTTTGTGCTAATGGAATTTTTATTTATAAATTTATGCTTGAATGTTATTGGTGTCATTGTCTCAAAGGGAGATATTGAAGATGTGATGGTGAAGGCATCGTCACATAAGACCAGACAAGTTTTGCTGCAAGATAATGAGTACGTTTTTTTGACATACTACATGTGCACTATCACGTCATTGTTCTAACATAATTAGTATTAATAGTTCTATTTATTTTTCAATAGAATGAAGCAGATACAGCGCACGTTTTGAGGCAACTATATCGAAGAAGTAAATCCGTATTTGGATAACAATGCGACTGAACTAATGATATGTCTTTCGCAGTTCTGTCTTGCGAAGATGTTTAATGATTTGTTTTGGAGTTACACAAATATATTTATATACCTTGAAAATAAATATTTGAGAATATTTGTTGTTGCAAGTGACATTGGTATTGGGTGGGTTGTGTAGTTGCACCACAATTGACAACCTCATTTCATATTACAAAGGTATTATCAATGAAACATGTGATGAGTTCAAACGTTTTAGGGAATGGTAAATGGATTACATATTCATTTGACGTTGATAAATGAATAAGTTAATATAAAGCATTTTCAATTGAGGTTTAATCATGTGTTGTTTTTTTCTTTTTGAAAGTATGGCTGAGAGGAATTAAAGCGGATATCCATACTGTAGAATTTTTGAATGGAATTAAAGCTTCAGGAGTTCTAAATCATGAACTGCATCTTAAAGTTGGAACACAAGTGATGCTAATGAGGAACATTGATCATTCTCAAGGGCTATGTAATGGGACTAGGATGGTTATTATCAGATTAGGTAAGCATATTTTGGAAGCAAAAGTTTTTACAGGGTTGAATGCTGGTGAGAAGGTTTTGATACCTAGAATGTCTTTGACTCCATTTAATGTGAGAATGTCTTTCAAGTTTGAAAGAAGACAATTTCCTTTGATTGTCTCATATGTTATGACGATAAATAAGAGTAAGGGACAATCATTGTCCAATGTTGGATTAGTGTGGAAAAAACCTATTTTTAGTCATGGTCAATTATATGTTGCGTTTTCAAGTGTCACTAATCCTGCGGGTTTGAAAATAGCTATATGTTATGCAGATAGGAAAAGAGTAAATTCCCTAAATAGGAGTAAAAAAGTTTTGAAATTCAAAAATAAGACTATCTTGTTTTTTATTCCGTAAATAGAAATAAATTTCTACCAAATTTGGCATTACTAGGCTTTTAAACATGGCATTTTTTTCCAAACTCGGAAGATTACTCCTATTCAAGGAATAAAAAACATGATACTCGTATTTTGAAATTTCAAAGCGTTTTTACTCCTATTTAGATGCATATATTAGAGTAGTGTGTGTAATATTACCAATATAAATATATAAGTGAAAACAACATTCCTTGAAACTTTCGGAATAATAACAATTTGAAAACAAAATGTCTTACAAATTTAGGAATACTTCCTTAAATACAACATTAGTTGTTACATTGGTACTTTTCTCATCTGCATCACATATAGCTATTTTCAAACCCACAAGATTAGTGACACGTGAAAGCGCAACATATAATTGACCATGACTAAAAACAAATTTTTTCCAAACTAATCCAACATTGGACAATGATTGTCCCTGACTCTTATTTATCATCATAGCATACTGGACAATCAAAGGAAATTGTCTTCTTGCAAACCTGAAAGGCAATCTCACATCACACGGAGTCAAAGACATTCTAGGTATCAAAACCTTCTCACTTGCACTCAACCCTGTAAAAATGTGTGCTTCCAAAATATGTTTTACCTAATTTGGTAATAATCATCCTAGTCCCATTACACAGCCCTTGAGAATGATCAATGTTCCTCATTAGCATCACTGATGTTCCAACTTTAAGATGTAATTCATGATTTGGAACTCCTGAAGCTTTAATTCCATTCAAAATATCTGGAGTATGTATATTCGCTTTAATTACTCTCAACCATACTTTCAAAAAGAAAAAAAAGCAACACATGATTAAACCTCAATTGAAAAGGCTTTATATTAACTTATTCATTTATCAACGTCAAATGGATATGTAATCCATTTACCCTAGCTTAAAACGTTTGAACTCATCACCCGTTTCATTGATGATAACCTTTGTAATATGAAATGAGGTTGTCAAATGTGGTGCAACTACACAACCCACCCAATACCAATGTCATTTGCAACAACAAATATTCTCAAATATTTATTTTCGAATTATGTAAATATATTCGTGTAATTCCAGAACAAACCATTAAACACATTCACACGACAGAACTGCGAAAGACATATCATTAGTTCAGTCGCATTGTTATCCAAATGCGGATTTACTTCTTCGATATAGTTGCCCCAAAACGTGCACTGTATCTGCTTCATTCTATTGAAAAATAAATAGAACTATTAATACTAATTATGTTAGAACAATGATGTGATAATGCACATGTAATATGTCCAAAAAAACGTACTCATTATCTTGCAGCAAAACTTGTGTGGTCTTATGTGACAATCACTTCACCATCACATCTTCAATACCTCTCTTCGAGACAATGACACCAATAACATCCAAGCATAAATTTATAAATAAAAATTCCTTTAGCACAAACATAAATTCAACATGTTATTATAAACATTAATGGGAATAAAAACATAATCTAAACAAACCCGAAAAAATTGCTCACCAAATATTTCAGTTTCATGCATCTGGAATATTTGTTGTCAGCACACTTTAAAAAGATTTGAATTGATACACTTCGTTCAAGAACCCCGGCTCATCGTGTACCCTAATATGAGATTTTGGGAGAAAAATTATCTTATACTTGTTTGTAGTTGTCTTGTATTTCTTTCCATCAATTGCTACAACAAAATTGTCAATGGCATAAACTTCTCCCTCTTTCATTGCATCCTTATATTGTGCTATTAGAAAGCTTCGAATGGTTCCATGGATACGATCTCCCTACCATTTTAAAAACCAAAAAGGTTCAAAGCACAAATATTACTAATTATTAACGAATGAATTTAAGCTAACAATTACAATAAACAACTACCTCTTTGCTGTGAAACACACACTCAAGACTCCTTATTTCGCCTTCTTCACTTCGCGAATAGTACATGCACACCAGCCGTAACCTTAAACCCCATGTTGTTGACTGAAGACATATATCCCTAACCAAACCAAACATTGCGGCCATTTCTACACAAATGTTGAACTGGAGTGATGTTTGGGTCGCTATTTGCTATGGTGGGCTGGAGTGACGCCAAGGTCCCTATTTATAGTGGACATTGCAACCCTATTTATTGTTCAAAAGCCACATAGAAATCCCAAATGCATCTCATACATACCCGCACGTTTTTCCTAAAATAATGGGCTCTTATTTATTGTAGACCATGATGCACATTTTTGGGGGGAAAGCAAAAACCACCTTAACAATCCCAAAAGGCAGCCACACGTTTTCCCAATGTATACTTGCATAAAATTCGAACACCCTAAAGCCACTTGCGGTGCACCTTCCCGCCCTAATTCCCTCCTCAAACCCTCCACACTTTTCTGTTTTACTATATATATATATATATATATATATATATATATATATATATATTGATTTCAAATATTTAATTTTTATCTTGTGCCATATATTGTTGCATACTTGCATATGATTATTTTCCATGCATCGAACGGGTAGAATTCTGGTTTGAGTATATAATCACTAACCAAAAGTATATTACTTTTGGAACGACTAAATGCGTATAAAAGAAAAATAAGTTTAACATGAACATTGTCTTAGTTGTCTATGAAGTTCTTCTTTCTTGTATTTGTCTTCCACATACTCATGAATTACTGGCACAATCTTTTAGGAATTGCATATTATCATCTAAATATGCATCCAGAGATCGAAGAGGGGATGTATTCATTAAAGACTTTCAGGGCATTTGGTAATTGAAAAATTATATGTACTCTGCCTCTACAATTTTTAAAATTAAAGCAATAGTTTGGTGATAGTAAGTCACCTGAATAGATCACCTCGATCATAGAAATCAACATATGTGAGCGTGGGAAACTGCTACATGATTGGATCCAAAATCCTAACATTAGTGTCAAGGCGATGCTTCATTTATCAAAGGGTCCTCCCATTTTACTCTTCACACCATAAGTACCTGACTACTTGCTGACTGACATCTGAAATAAACCATGGGCTTACTCAGAAGTTTCCATTCTGATAAATGCCATAATAGTATCTTCAAAATAGCAAAAATTAGGGCCGAAAGATTTGTTTCCTCATATTTTGATTTAGTTTTATTGGCATAAATAAAAAAGATGAGGAATAAGCTGAGAATCTTTCGATACACTTATCTCATTTTAATGGCATTAAATTATGGAGTTAACTCAAGTTGAGCGTGCCTACTTTGTCAAGACTATTGTCCTGTTTGAAGAACGTGGATTTTTAGAAACGAAATATTAAAATGTGATGCAACAATGAGTATTAACTATCCAGTGATAGGTGCAGAAATGAGATTAAACTGGAATATGCTTTAAGAAGCATATAAATAATGACCTAAAACATATTTAGAAGTATTTGAAAATAAACAAAATGAATGAAAGTATTGGCTAATGCTAGGTCGTCACCCGTAAGTGACGCGTCATCCCTCCGCCTGGGGGTTGCCTGGGGGTGGTGTCAAATATGCAAGGGCGCGCTACACTTGTTAGATCTGGGTGTGGTGATAAGAATGCTAAGGTTGCTAGGTCGCCGCCCAGAAGCGGCACGTCATCCCATTGCCCGGGGATGATGTCAAATATGCAAGGGCATGGTGGGGTCCAAGATGGGGCTAAGAACAGAAGGTGGAATGCTAGATTGCGTTTTGGGACATGGAATGTTGGGTCTCTTACAGGCAAATCTTCCGAGGTAGTCGAGGTTATGAGCAGAAGGAATATCAGCATTATGTGTGTGCAAGAAACTAAATGGGTTGGAGAGAAAGCACACGAGATTAATCCCGGAGGTTTTAAGTTGTGGTATTCAGGGTGAGATAAGACTAGAAATGGGGTAGGCATTATTGTGGCGCGTGACTATGTTGAGGATGTGGTAGAAGTCCTCAGGAAGAACGATCACATCATGAGCATTAAATTGGTGATAAGAGGTGAGATTGTGTCTGTGGTAAGTGCCTATGCACTACAGGTGGGATTGGATGCATCTACAACTCAACAATTCTGGGAAGATCTTGAAGACGTGGTGTGACGAGTGCCAATGGGAGATAAGTTGATCATAGGAGATGACCTCAACGGGCATGTGGGCTCGAGTCATGATGGATTTGAGAATATTCATGGCGGACATGGTTTTGGCACTAGGAATGAGGCGGGAAAGAACATTTTGGATTTTGCCTTGACGTATGAGTTGGCTATAATGAACACTTGGTTTAAGAAAAGAGACTATCACCTTGTAACCTATAAAAGTGGAGCTAATAGTACCCAAATTGACTACTTCTTAGTACGGACCACTTGGAGAACTAACTACACTGATTGTAAGGTTATTCCAGGTGAGAGTGTTGTTACTCAGCATAGGATGCTTGTGCTTGACTTTCGAGGTAAGAATCATAGAAGACAAGTTAAACAACAAGTGGAGCCAAAGATAAAGTGGTGGAGGCTTGAGGGAGATCTTCAACAAAGCTTTACACACAAAATGGTCGGTGAAGATGTATGGCGTATTGATAATGAAACACGTGTGGATGATGTGTGGTTATCAATGGAGTTGACCGTTAACAAAGTGGCAAAGGAGGTACTTGGAGAATCTAAAGGATGTCGGCTACCTAAAAAGGACACATCTTGGTGGAATGATGAGGTGAAACAAGCCATAAGGAACAAAAGAGACTGCTACAAAAAGTTGGGGACAAATTGGAGTGATGAGAACATAGAAGCATACAGGGAGGCTAAAAGACAAGCAAAGAAAGCCGTAAGGGAAGCACGAGGGAAAGTGAACAAGGAGTTGTATGAAAAGTTGGACTCTAAGGAAGGAGAACTAGATATTTATAGACTTGCTCGTCTTCGTGATCGCAGAACTCAAGATATTGCAAAAGTTAAGTGTGTGAAGGATGTTGATCAGAGGATATTAATGGACGACCGAGAGATAAAAGAGAGGTGGAGGTCATACTTTGATACACTATTCAACGGGAACAAAACGCAAGATATCGGCGATTTGTCCATACCAGATTGTATGGTAAACCGTGATTTTGTGAGAAGGATCCAAACAACGGAAGTTAAAGAAGCTCTGAGGAAGATGGGACGGAAAAGAGCAATGGGGCCAGATGGCATACCGATCGAGGCTTGGAGAAGTTTGGGAGAGAGAGGCGTCGAGTGGTTAACAAGTTTCTTCACCATGATTTGGAGAAACAACAAGATGCCAACGAGTTGGAGGAAGAGTACTCTTATCCCCTTATTTAAGAATAAAGGTGATGTACAAGAATGTGCCAACTATCGAGGGATTAAGCTTATGAGTCACACCATGAAACTTTGGGAGCGAGTGATTGAGCAAAGACTTCGAAGGACTGTGAAGATTTCAGAGAATCAATTCGGTTTTATGCCTGGTCGCTCAACAACTGAGGCCATTCACCTTCTTCGGCAACTTATGGAGAAGTATAGAGATGCTCATAAGGATCCGCATTTGGTGTTCATTGACTTAGAAAAGGCATATGATAGGGTACCTCGAGAAGTTCTTTGGTGGGCCTTAACTAGGAAAGGCATATCACGCAAGTATATCAGCATCATCATGGATATGTATGAGGATTGTACTACAAGTGTTCGTACTAGTGTAGGGAGGACTGAAGAGTTCCCTATTACTATCGGAGTGCACTAAGGATCGGCCTTGAGTCCTTTCTTATTTGCCATAGTCATGGATGAACTTACGAAGTCAATTCAAGACGATATACCGTGGTGCATGATGTTTGCCGATGATATTGTATTGATTGATGAGACGCAATCAGGTCTTAAAGCAAAGTTGGAAGTATGGCGACAAACATTGGAGAATAAGGGTTTCAAACTAAGTCGGAGCAAGACAGAGTACATGGAGTGCAAGTTTAGTGGAGGTAGAAGTAGTGGTAATAGCGGAATTACTCTGGATGGTAAGGAGATACCAGTCAGCGATATGTTCCGTTACTTAGGCTCCATAATTAAGAAGGACGATGAGTTAGATGGAGATGTATCCCATAGAATCAGAACAGGGTGGATGAAGTGGAAGAGTGCGTCAGGATTTCTATGCGACCGAGGTATGCCGACTAGACTGAAGGGTAAATTTTATAGGACAACAATTAGGCCTGCATTACTGTATGGCGTAGAGTGTTGGGCGGTGAAACAATGTCACATTCAAAAGATGAGTGTGGCAGAGATGCGCATGCTGCGTTGGATGTGTGGGCATACTAGGAAGGACCGCGTGAGGAATGAGACAATCAGACAAAGGGTGGGAGTAGCACCTATTGAAGACAAGATGCGGGAGTCGCGCCTACGGTGGTTTGGTCATGTGCGTAGAAGACCGAGTGATGCACCTGCTAGGCGAGTTGAGATGTGTGGAGAAGAGGCAGGGAAGAGAGGGGGAGGAAGACCCAAACAGACGTGGGTTAGGGGAGTTCGAAGTGATATGCTTCTTCTGGGGTTGGATGAGGTCATGACTTTGGAGAGAACTAAGTGGAGGGCGGGTATTCACGTGAAGGAGTGATCTTGATAATCTTTTTCCCTCTCTCTCTCTTTTTTCCTAGTTTTTTTATCCTTATATATATATATATAAGCATTATTTGCAGCCTTTTTATTTTATCATTTTTATATATATTCATCTTTTTTTATATTATCTTTTCATAATAGCTTATCTTTTTATCTTTATTCCTTCTTTTCCTTTTGATTGTGATATCATGTATCCATTCATGTTAGCCGATCCCAATATCTTTTGGGACTAAGGCTTGGATGTTGTTGTTGTTGTATTGTCTAGGCTTAGTATAGTTTGGTTGTACATCAAAACTAAGTTTCAGTTTTAATCTAATGGAAGGTCAGTTTCAAAAAAATTATTAGCAAAAAAGAAAACTGTTTTAACCTACTGAATCATATGCATAGTTTTTCTTTTTCACTTGATAGCGTACTATATGTGTTTAAATGGGAAAAAACATTGTTTCAAGTCAAATTAAATGAATCCTTATTCCAATCATACTAAGCACTATGAAATCTTTATTGGTTCATTTGATCTCAAATTGGTACAGTAGCTATATTTTCCAAACTGTTTTTATTTTCTAAATCTTTTCTAAGAAGGTGTTTTTGACTAAAATCAGATTTATTTCTTTTATAGTTTAAATAAATTTAACTACAATTTTCTAAATTTTACCATAGAGGAGGAATCTCTAACCTGTCCTAAAATATACTTAACATATATACCCCTATCTCTATAACAAAAGAAAAAAATATGGACAGATTTATGACAGAAAGTCAAGCATTTGTCATCAAATTTATTAAACAAACTCAGTCAATTATCTAACCAAAAAGAAAATTATATGGACAGTTTTATATATCAAGTTTGGATTAGTACTTATCCGTGATTCCCTGAATCATTGGATAGCAGCTAGATTTAAGATTCTAATACACTTTTAGGATAAACACATATAGGTACTATGGCTGATTTCTTTATACTTGTGTGCATACTGTGAAAAGCAGCATCACTCTCCAATATACTTGGATAGCAGAATTTATTCTGCTATCCATGTTTTAATGTTGTCTCTCTACCCTTATATAAAAATCTTAACATGGTTACGCTTCTATTGCAACTTCATAATATATACCACAATTTGATTAAGGGAAGAAGAGCCTCAAAATACTATTATGCCAAACATAAGCAAAAGAACATCAACAGATTTTAAAAATATGAAATGATCTGATGCTGTGAAATTGTATATGATAATGTGTCAATTTGGAAATGTGAATTTGTTTGCTTGTATTTGTAATTATCGATTAACTAAATCAGAGTTCCATAAAAAACTATAAAAATAGTAACTTGGTGTTTCCTTAATACTAAAAAAAGGAGAGCAGTAGTGCCAGTAGTGCATCTGTGGTTTCAAAACAGTTAATCAAAGAGAGGGTAAAATACATTAATAAATGCATAAATATATACCTATAAAAATAAGACAAAGTTGATATATGTATAGTTGATACATAGAGAAAGCTTCTAATTAGATCTAAATGGATTTTGAACAATATTCACACTTTATAGGGTAAAAAAGAAGAGGAAAACAACTCATGTTGCTTGAATTTCCTGGTGTCTCTGCTAGCTATCACTTTAATATCTCATTCCAAATGAAAATACATTGGAAAATAAATTAATAAATGCATAAATATATACCTATAAAAATTGTAACTTAGTGTTTCCTTAATACTAAGAAAAAAGGAGAGCAATAATAGTGCATCTGTGTCTTCAAAACAGTTAATCAAAGAGTATTACTGGTTTTAATAATTTATCAAAAAATAAGACAAAGTTGATATATGTATAGTTGATACATAGAGAAAGCTCCTAATAAGATCTAAATGAATTTAAAACAATATTCAAACTTTATAGGGTAAAAAAGAAGAGGAAAATAACTCATTTTGCTTGAATTTCCTGGTGTCTCTGCTAGCTATCACTTTAATATCTCATGGGAGATTTCAACAAGTAGGAGCAAAACGTACGGATCTTCCAAAACTAAGACCGAAGATTAGCGTAAGACTCAAGTACATCTGCATTGACCACAATACCTTACTTTTAGAAAATAACAGACAATAAATAGACAATAAATAAACAATAAATTCTGAAAAGCAACCAGTCTAATGCTCCGACCCGCAAGGAGGAGGGGAGAATAAGAAGGGCCTGGTGCGCCGCTGCCCTAATTCTGGAATCTGGATTGCGTATCAGCTTAATTTTCCAGATCTAAAACGTATATTTTGATTTCAGAATCTGAAAAAGTGAAATAAAATCATTGGTTGAAATAGAAAAACAAAAGTGGACAGAGGAGAATGAAGAGGAGTAGAAGAAGAAGAAGGAAGAAGAAGAAGAACAAGAAAGAAGAAGAAAAGGATGTGGAGGAGCAGTAACCTGGTGCGGCGGCGGCGGGTTACCGACGGAGAAGCATCGATGATTGGTAGCGGCGGTTTTGGAGTTGAGACAGGGCACCGAACGATGAAGATGGAGATGAACTTCTGAGCGGTGAATGTTTAATTGACGGAAGAAAAGAAATCTCTGGAAGCCAACGTGAATTGATTTGGGGTTTTAATAAATAGGTGAAGGGTAAAAGTGGAAAGTTAAAATCAAGTTTACTGAAATATAACTAAATAGGTTGTACGCACGGAAGAAATTTAAGTAGGTCCTATTTTTGTAAAATTGATATGAATGGATCCTACTTGAAGCAATTTTCTCATATCTCATTCCAAATGAAAATACATCGGAAAATACATAATAAATGCATAAATATATACCTATAAAAATTGTAACTTATTGTTTCCTTAATACTAAGATAAAAGGATAGCAATAATAGTGCATCTGTGTTTTCAAAACAGTTAATGAAAGAGTATTACTGGTTTTAATAACTTATCAAAAAATAAGACAAAGTTGATATATGTATTGTTGATACATAGAGAATGGTCCTAATTAGATCTAAATGAATTTTGAACAATATTCACACTTTCAAGAGTAAAAAAGAAGAGGAAAATAACTCACTTTGCTTGAATTTTCTGGTGTCTCTACTTGCTATCACTTTAACATCTAGGTGAAATTTGAACATTAACATTTTCTAGGATGAAAAAGAAGAGGAAATAACTCATTTTGCTTGAATTTTCCAGTGTCTCTGTTTGCTATCACTTTAATATCTCATTCCAAATGAAAGTACATTTGATATAAGCATCCAAAATTCCAAATAAACAAACCTAAATTATGCAAATACCTCATTCCAAACCTAGATATGGATTTACTTGTTACTCAAATTGACTCATTTTGTGCTCAATTGGCCCGAAATTTCACCAAACATATTATGACTGTAGTTTTCACCTGAATTCATGAAACTTGAACAAAAATATCCAAATTATCTTATCAAAAATTGCTTACTTTTGATAAGAAAAATAAGTACAAAAATGGACTTATCAATCTCCTCACACTTACGCGTTGCTTGTCCTCAAGCGACAAATTGGTTGGAAACACACTCACAAAAGGTAAAACCTGACTGAATCACAATCGAATTGCTATTAAAGAAATAGAAACAAAAATCTCCTTTTTTATTATCAATTTTTAAACATTTTAGAAAAATCACCCAAAATACAAGAATTTAAAATTATTATTACTTTATAAAAACTATTGATTATGTTAAACCACCAATCAATTCCTTATCCCAAGGTTTTCATTATTCTAATTTGGACATTTATCTTATTCACAAACAATTTTTTTTCATTTTTTTGCCTCTTTTCCACTCTTGTTGGCGGTGTTATCCCATGGTAGATGCATATTTCATTCTCACAGACTATGATTAACGAATGAAACAGAGCCCCTTTTTGGAGATGGAATTGTCCTATAACAATGAGGTTTGAAGATATTTATTAATAATAGTATTTTTATTTTTATGAATAAAATGAATGTCCAATTAAAAAAAAATTAGCAGCCATTTACATTCGCAACCAAAAACCCATAACAATTTCAAGTTTTCTAAAAATAATAATAAAAGTAAATTCTTATAATAAGGGTGATTCTTTAAGCTATTATGTGATTGATAACAATTGAGAAGTGAATATTTCATATCAAAAATAGTAAAAAGATTGATCTAAAACAAGGTTTTAACTTTTTGGGTGTAAAACACAACCTCCTCACACTTGATCTGAACCTCGCCCTCGAGGTCTCTTTTTAATGCACGAAGTTTAGAAATAAAGGCACACTTTTTTTTTGTTCTTTCCTCACACTTGAGTTTTGAAAAGATTTTGTGAAGAGGAATGATGAAAACAGGAATAAAATTGTTTTAAAAAACCTTACAGAATCCATAGTCAGTTTGTATGAGCAATCAAGTCAAAAGAGTAGCGTAATGTCCAACCTGAACAAACAAACAAACACAATAAAATGTTAAGAAGGAAGTAAACACTAATCAGAGCCAGTCTCATCCCATGGGTCATAATGAGGCCTAAGTCAATCCTTTATCTCATCAATATCCACCTGTTGAGCCTCTATCTGCTGCCGCATTTGCCTGACGGTGACCTCCTGTGCCAGTCGATAATCCCGGAACTCAGCCAGTGTCATAGTCTGTGTCTCCTGCATCTCCCTGATGGCGGCCTCCTGTGCCGATCGAAAGTCTCGGAACTCCATCACGTGTGTGTCCCGAAACTTTGAGAATGAGGTCTGAAGACTCCTCATCCCGTCCATCATCGCTCTCCAATCGGGTGCACTGGACATGTCGTATGATGGAGTACCAGATCCCATATGTGGTGGTGCCCGAGAAGAGCTGCTCTGCTCCGCTATCTGCTCAATGTCTGGGAGCTCCTGAGTATTACGCTTCTTCTTGATCCTCATGTTCGCAAAGGATGAAGACCAAAGAACGCGGATGCTATCCGGCACAGGTAGTAACCCAGGAATGTCTAGGTTAGGGTAGAATGACCGAGAAAGAATTGTGATGAAAGGCCCTGCCTGAATAGTGCGGCGGACACTCTTCCCTTGGCTCCGGAAGAAGCGAGCCATAAGGACTGCCATGTTCACCGGGCTCTGGTGAATCAAACTCCAAAAGAAGAATATGTCCTTTTTGGACAACCTGTTTGTGTTGTTAAGTCGTCCAAAAAAACCACAAGATAGCACGAATGAGAGTATATACCAGTGTATCCGCCTCCATTTGGCTGCCAAGGGGTACGCACGAAGAAAGGCCCTGGTGTCGGTAGAGTGTGTGTGCCAGAACTCGTCAATGTTAAACCCCTCCGGTAGATGGGTTGGGAGAGCGCGGAACTCGTCCGTCTGTGTATAAGCCGGGGCATAGAGCCCCATCCTCCATCCGAGCTCAGCCACAGTGATGGAGTGCTCGATGCCCAAAATAGTGAATCTCATTCGAGTCTCCGTCCCAATGGTACCTGCTACCTGAATGATGTGGCCATAGTGAGTGAAGTGCAATGAGCACAGGAACTCAATCATTAGTGAGAAACTGGCACTCTCCTCGATAGATAGAATGCTCCGCCATAACGAATCTCCTAGCAGCGTATCGATGTCGTCCCAGTACCCCAACGTCTCGAGCATCCCCTGGTCCAGTATCATGGGGGTAGAAGACTACGTAAATGCCCCCATGTCTGGAAGCGTCTGCGGTCAGCATCAGTAGCAAATGGGATGTCTGGCACAGGAAGTGGGTCTTGCCTAGCCAGTGGTGGCTCCTGAGAGATGGGATCGTCATTTCTTCCTCTAGACATCTGCAAAGAATAAAGTAAATTTTTTTTAAGGTTAGTTTTTTTTGAATGGGTTGCCTCCCAATGAGCGCTTCTTTAACGTCACTAGCTTGACGAATTCCCCCCTTTGATTCAAAATTTTGGAGATAGAGAATCTCCTTGCTTTTTTCAACCGGGCCACCTTTGTAAAGTTTGAGTTGGTGGCCATTGACTTTAAAGGGACCCCCGTTTGCATCTTCGATCTCGATGGCTTCATAGGGGTAAGTTTTCACGACCGTGAACGGTCCAGACCATCTTGATTTGAGTTTTCCCGGAAAAAGTTTTAACCGGGAGTTGAACAGTAGCACTTTGTCCCTAGCATTGAAATCACGGGCCTTGATGTGTTGATCATGATAGTGTTTGGCCCGTTCTTTGTAAAGTTTGGAGTTATTAAAAGCTTGCGCTCTCCACTCTTCCAATTCATTCAGCTGGTAAAATCGCTCTTTCCCTGCAGTGTCAAGTTTAAAACAAACATTTTTCATCGCCCACAGTGCTTTATGTTCGAGTTCAACGGGTAAGTGGCAAGACTTCCCGTATACAAGGCGAAAAGGTGTGGTTCCGATCGGGGTTTTGTACGCAGTCTGAAATGCCCAAAGTGCGTCGTCAAGTTTAGTCGACCAGTCTTTCCTGGTCTGGGCGACAGTTTTCTCCAAAATGGACTTCAAATTCCTTTTAGCGTTCTCAACCTGCCCCTGAGTTTGGGGGTGGTACGCTACTCCGCTCTGATGCTGGACTCCATATTTGGCCAAAATTCTGGCCATTGGATTATTGTGGAAATGAGTCCCCCTGTCACTGATCAAAACCCGAGGTGCACCAAATCTAGTAAATAACTTTTTCAGAGAATTTACGACTACTCGAGAGTCGTTGGTGACGCAGGCCTCGACTTCAATCCACTTAGAAACATAATCAATGACCACAAGAATGTATTTGTTTCCTCTTGAGCCGGGGAAAGGTCCAACAAAGTCGATGCCCCAAACATCAAATACTCCACAAGGTAAGATAAAGTGTTGGGGCATCTCATTGCGCCCAGAAATATTCATGATTCGCTGATAGTTATCACAAGAGGAAACAAATACATTAGCATCTTTAAAAATCGTGGGCCAGGAGTACCCAAAGTCTAGAACCCGTCTGGCAGTTCTATTCCCTGAAAAGTGGCCCCCAGTAGGGCCGCTGTGACAATGCTTCAGTATGTCTCTTCCCTCAGCTTCAGTAACGCATCTTCTCACCACCCGGTCAGCACAAATTCGGAATAGATATGGATCATCCCAAAAATAGTCCTTTGCTTCTGACAAGAACCGCCTCTTCATATGCCTTGTTAGGTCCGTAGGCTTGACGTTACCAACAAGGTAGTTGGCAATGTCTGCATACCATGGTGTTTGTTCATTGGCGGATATTGCCATCAACCTATCCGCACGAAAAAAGTTCATCCACTTCGCATTTTCCAAAGGTTTCTGCTAATTCGACATCTAACCTCGAAAGGTGATCAACTGCCTGATTAGCAGACCCTTTCTGGTCCCTGATTTCAATATCAAATTCATGCAACAAAAGAACCCAGTGTAACAGTCTAGGCTTAACATCATGCTTTTGGAGGAGATATCTAATGGCCGACTGATCGGTATAGATAATAACCTTCGAAAGAATGACGTAAGTCCTAAACTTCTCTAAAGCACAAACAATAGCAATGAATTCTTTTTCAGTGGTGGTGTAGTTCAGTTGTGGCCCTAATAGAGTTTTACTAACGTAGTAGATTGGGTGGAAGTTCTTGTCCTTCCTTTGATCGAGAATGGCCTCCACTACTAAGCCACTAGCGTCACACATGAGTTCAAAAGGTAAACTCCAATCTGAGGCCACAAGTACTGGAGCATTGATCAGTTGTGTTTTAAGTGTTTGGAAAGTTTGGTGACATTCATCAGAGAATATA